GACACACAGCGCTAACAATGAGGCGCTGCGACTGACTGCGTCCACATGCAAGGCAGGATCAGGATGGGAACACATCCCCACAGAATACTGCCATGCCTATTAACAGGGTTGAAATTTGAAGATCCATTTATCTGTTAACACAAAGAATTATTTTCTAAAACACCACTGAAGCAGAAAAATAATGGGGGCAAACAGCAGGACACATGATGACAACTAAGCCAGGACATGTTTATGTGGGTCCGTTTTCACAAAGGTTGTGATGACCATCTTTGAAATGGACATTTTATTTGAATCATCCTGCACATGACTTTATCCTGAGAATGTTACCAATTAGGAAGGCATTGAAATAAACGTGCAAATGACAACTGATAAATCCAGCTTCTTCTTTCATCTAAGGAACTGTTTCTGAGCTTCATTAAAATCTGTCAACTGGTTCATGAGATATTTTGCTAACCGACAGACACTTGCATAATTACGCCATCCAAAAAATAAAAATAAGTTAAATGCTGACACTGAAACTACCAAAAGGGAAGAATGTTTATATGTTTGCTTGAACCAAAAGGTTTACTTACTATCTATATTTATGGTTTCAGCAATCCCCCCTAAAAAATAACCTAGTGACATTAAGCCTGCTGAAAACTCTCAAGCTGAAGGAGACTTTCAAGCTTAACTTTAAAATCCAAACATGTCTTCTGATAGACATTTTCCTGCAAAAACCTCAGTTTGTTTGAGAACCACCTTCTTCCATCTGTGTAATATCACTAGAATTAGAAACATCTAATCTACAAATGATGCAGAAAAACTGGTTCATGCATTTGTCATGTTCAGACTGGACTGTTTCAATGGTTTATTATCTGGGTGTCCAAATACGCATTTAAAAAGTCTTCAGTTGATCAAAAATGCTGCTGCCAGAGTCTTAACTGGAGTTAGCAGGAGAGATCATACTCTCCAGTTTTAGCTTCTCTCTACTGGCTCTCTGTCAAATCCAGAATTGAATTCAAATCTTACTTCTAACCTACAAAGCTCTCAACAACCTAGCTCCATCTTATAATCAAGATCTTATTTTTCCATATTTTCCTAACAGAGCCCTTCGCTCTCAGACTGCAGGCTTACTCGCGGTTCCTAGAGTTTCCAAAAGCAAAAAGGGAGGAAGATCTTTCAGTTATTAGGCTCTTCTCTTGTAGAACCAACTTCCAGTTTCTGTCTGTGAGGCTGACACATTGTCCAGTTTTAAGACTTTCCTTTTTGATAAATCCTACAGTTAGAGTTGGCTTGTTATGCTGCCTTAAGCTTAGACTACTAAAGGACAAATTGACCTCATTTCCTTAAATTAATTGTTAAAATTGAATAGTTTTCATTTGATACTATTTCTATCTTGTGATTCTTGACCTGCCATTGTGTATCTGTTCCTCTCAAACCCAGCTGGTCGAAGCAGATGGCCACTTGTCCTGAGCCTCGTTCTGCTAAAGGTTTTTTTCCTCGTGAGGGAGTTTTTTCTTCCCACTGTCACCTTCATGCTTGCTCAAGATGAGAGTTCTGCGATGGAGTTAATTTCAAAGCAGTCTGCTCAGATAAATAGTCTTAAATTATTATTTATATATATATAAATGTTTTTGTTCATTGCCTTGATACGACTTTTGTTCTGACTTAGCGCTATATAAATAAACTGAACTGAATTTGTTTCAACAACTAAATTGGCAAAAGAGTAAATATATCTTGCTTCATTTCCACTCTTTAGGTCTCATTGAAAGCCGAAACAATGCGGAGCATTAAATGCCCATGTAACATATGACAGAAGAAAGGGAGACGGGCAGAAATGATGGTTAAATCTGTTTACGAGGACATCTGAACCAACACAGACAGCATCAATTCATTGACTGCAGTAGAACACAACAAGAAGCTAACCAGCGGCACCGTCTTTTCCATCTATATTATTCCCCAATGAGAGATCATAAAAATGTGCAACCCTCGGCACAAGTGTTTGTTTACATCATAAGAAATAATACTCGCTCTCAGACAAGGGGGTCTCTGTGGCTTTGATAAGGATCATGGGTATTTATTACACCCAGCAGAGCCCTTTCACTGAATCGTCTGATAATGGTTTGTCTCACCAGAGGACATGTAGGGGATTTCTATATCTTGAAGTTTGTATTATCTAAGATTTTGTTAGGTGATAATAAAAAAATAATAAAAAAAGAGATGAATCCAGGCGCACATACTGTAGACGAAGCACGTGAAGGCTTTAAAAAAGAATGAAGAGCTTGTTGATTCTATGCGATGACCATGTCTTGAAGTTTGACATTGTGCAGCCTGTTATTTATCCCCAAAGATGGAGTCACTGTCCTCAGGCTCTGCTGGGGGGTGACATGTTGTCTCGAGGGCACCGAACAGAGAAATATCAACAGACCTATCCCATCCCACATAGTGAAAGTCTATCAGCTGGTCACAGCTCCATCTCCCACACTCCTCTCATTCCTCCTGGGGAGAAAAGCACTGAACTGAAGCCAATTCTAAACTACAGGCTTTTATACACACACACACACACACAGACACACATACACACACACACACACACACACACACTGAACCAAGAGAGACTAAAGGACCTTGACCTGCTCGTTCCTTTTCAAAGCCTCAATGCCAGAGCTCTGGCTCTAAATAAATACAGCCTTCGCTCGTAAAGATGGTTTAACCCTTCTTAAACCGATGCTTTGTTTCAGCTTTCGTCTGATAGTTAATCCCAAATAAATCCAAAACCTCTGTGGGACTCATGGTTAGCCAAAGTGGCAAACACACACACACACACACACACAAAAAGGAAAGGAGCTTATAAAACATACAACGACTCTGGTTAAAGCCACAGTTAAAACAATGGCTCATATCGTTTAATGTAGGATTGTGTGAAGAAACCATCAGCTCAAACCAGCTGTTAGCTTATCACTCCAGTCAAGATTTACGCTCCTTTTCTCCAAACTGAGCTCCTTCAAAGACCTGGTACAATATTAGGTATTTTTCACAGAACGCAATTTCTAAATATATGAAATATTCTTTTAAGCAAGATAATTCTGACTGTTGTAAACACGACCAAGGTCTGATTACTTTGAAATAAATAAGAACAAATTTAATGATGAACATACACCACAAAACATTTTTAAGTTAAAGCTAAAAGGAACTCAACCAACTGTCATGATTTAAGCAAAAATAAATGTAAAATCAAGTCATGCATTTAAAAAACATTGAGGATAAAAAAAATAATAATATTGTGCAAACCTCAATATAAAACCACATAAAATTGTTTCTAGTTTCCGTAGCTCGGCCAGTGCTGCAGCCCCGTGGCTGCAGGTTCGAGCCCAGATTGCACCAGGAATGGCATCCAGCATAAAACAGTTGCCAAATCATTCAGACGAGTTTGCTCGCTATGGCAACCGCCTTCAGAAGGGAGCAGCCAAAAGCAGAACAACAATAATAATCTGGTTTCTTTGCTCAGGCTTATTCAACTATCAATGAAAAGCTTAATCAGCAGCCTCAATATCAGGTTCAACAAGTTCTTCAGCACAAGAATGAACACTTCTGCAGCTCGTTGTACCATCATGACTAAGCACCGAGTTTATCCATTTCATTGACAACAAACAGATCTTATTTTGCTGCATCTTTTTCAATTAAACAATGTCAGGTTGAGGGTTGTTGTGCTTTTTTTTATTTTTGCTGTAGCAGCACAAAGACAAAAAGCAGAGGATGTGATGTCTGCTTACTCAGGGGCCTGAAGAGGCTCAAATCAAAAGCCTCCCTGTCTGTAACAACCGTAACTCAGCAGAGCCTTTTCAGCTGCTGAGGCATATGATGCAGACCCTTCTGAAGAAGAGGTCAGCATCACTCCGAATACAAGAGGCTCTCTCAGTTTGGCTCACAGGTCTGCAGCAGTCCATCCCAGGAACCCTTCCATCTCCTGTCCCTGCAATCAGCAGTCTGTCTCCCATTCATGCAGCAGCAAGCTGGAGGGGTTACAGGTTCTGTGGGTTCATCCATCTTTACTTAATGTTCAGAGAAGCTAGGGGGCAGGCGAGGTCAAAGTAGATTAATAATCGGAGTTTAAATCTGTTTTGCCCTGCAGAGAATCACTAGCAGAGTTAAAGCTCCTCGGGATCTCTGCTCTTCTCTTTCTTTTTCTATTTGCTTATTGATCTGCAGAGACTTGACCCACCTCCATCATTCATCCTGCAGCAGCCGCTCACACTTGTGCAAAGTGCAGCAGACCCAAAAGTGTTTGATGTGAAATACCTGCATGTAGTTTCGGTTTTGACAGAATGATGTTCACCAGCTGACTCAAAGCACACTTTAATGCAAACATACGGAGCCAAACAGGTCAATTCAACTGATTTTACAGATATTGCGTTAATATTTGTTGTGGAAGTAGCCGAGCATCACCTCAAACACTTAAGTAAAATGCAACATTTGATTAAATCTGGCTTTATCTGACTCAACCCGATGTCTGTTAGCAAAATAGCTCACAAACCACTGGTTCTTGATGAAACTCAATGTGTCAAACCAGTTCAAGAAGGCCAGCACAACTAATCCAACCCAGCTGTAACTCGTTGATTTGTACATATAGTGAACCACAATTCCGTGTGTTATGGGTCTTTCACAGCCAATGATCTAACAGCAAATCAGAATTCTGTATGATTGCACATAATTATAGTTTAAAGATTTGATCAACACAGACTGTCTCTGCCACTTCTCAACATAAGATGGTTGTAGTTTAAAACGGTGGCTTTAAAGGTGACAGGCTATGCATTCTTTCAAAAAGGTGATTTTAATTTAGTAAAACAATCATGTACACAGACGCATAGGCCCTGCATTGTTTCCCAAATTGCATACTTTTAAAATCAGTGATTTCTATTAATAAATGTACTTTTCTTTAGTAAAAGTAGGATTCACTTTGTGTGCCAACTTCTGACATATTTGGGCATTCTGGTGCCATCTTGGTGCCACAGCATGATTACCTTATTAGAGTAGGGCTGTTTGGTCAAGTTGATCCCATCTCGGATGAGTTTATCCCTGATCATAATCTTCAGCTTCAGTTTGGGGTACATCACCAGCTCCCTCCTGTTGCCCAGCGTCAGGTTCCTCTGTGCGCCCATGTAACCGCCGTTACGCCCAACCCGGTCACTGTTGGGCTCGGTCCAAGACTTGGAGCCCCGAAGTTTGGACTCAAACTCCCCCATGTGACCCGTGTAAACCTCAGCCGCGGGTGGCATCGGCTCCAGGGTGAAGTACAGCCCGCTGGCCGTCTCTTTGGCTTCCTCCTTCAGCCGCCTCACCGCGTCATGGATCCTCTGCCGGTGGTGCGGGATGTAGACGCCGATAGCATCCAAGTCAGGGTCCCCTATTTGTTTGCAGACCTCTAAGTCGTCATATCCATTATCCACGAAAGACTCGACGTACTGGGAGAGCTGGAGGGTCTTCAGCCACTCGTAAACGATGACAGGTCCGTTGCTTGTCATTTTCTTCTCTTTCTTTATTATTTGGCTGGTGCCAAAATTGGCTCCGAGTTGGGAGTTAAAAAAAAAAAAAAGTCAAGAGTGAACTGTTACTTTCCCGTTTTCATTCTAAGATTGTCAGAGACTGCACGTTTTCTCCGAGTGTTCAGTGCGTAAAAAATCTGGATTAAACAATTTCTGAATAATCCTCGTGAAAGACTTGGCTACCATGCCCAGTCTAAATATTAAATCATCCAAGAAACGGGATGAAAACTTTCCCAAACACGGTCCAGATGAACAACACAAGTCAATATTTAGAAACGAAGACCCTTTGAGCACGTTTTCTGGTGCGCAATTGTCAGATGTCATTCAAAACGGCGTCTTGCTCAGATTCCACTCGTTACGCACGATCTTTCCTCTGCTCCTCTGTGTGGACAAAACAACAAAACAATCAAACAATAAATCCAAATAAGGCCAGCTGCTTTAAAACGCATCACGGCTGCGCGCAGTCTAGTTCATCCAGCCGGCACATCGCTTCCTTTGGAAGCGCAGCCAAGAACCAGCACGCTCCTCTCACGTCCACGCCCCCCTAATCTCGCATTTAAAAATAGTGAAACGGGTCCTCTCTCTCCTCCACCTCTCCCTCTCTCTCTCTCTCTCTCTCTCAACTTGTGCAGCCTCGTGGTTTATTCACTTGGTCACCACTGACTTGTCCGGAGTCAGTTGGTTCAAACTGGCGCACGGATCATGCTTCGCAGCTGATTTGTTTGACATTATCACTTCCCGTTCAGCTGGGATTTCGTCCACGGCGCTTCTTGCGCCCCCCCTCGTTCCTCTCGCTCGTGCGCGCACACACTCAATCATTCAGCATTTCCACGCTCTGCTTTGCTCAGGGCGCATGAGCGCCCTCTATGTGGTAACTTTGGAACTGAACACTTCAGAAGCCCTCCAAGAAAATGAATTAAAAAAAAAACGAAAAAAAAACACCTTTCCATTTAGAAATTAGCATTTTTTTTTTTTTTTTAGAAGTATCAGAATGAAATAGTTGGAGGTTTAAAGTGTGTGACTAGACAGGGAGGGGTAGAAATACACAGCAGAGACTTAAAGGGGGTACGATTGCTTGAATAAGACCTGTCCGAGCAGTCCAAATGGATGTCAAGCTGGCCCAAGTTGATGCATGCTTCATCAAATGTGAGCCGACAGCTTGTTAGGGGTCAGTTTGATACAATCACTACCTCAGCCCAAAGCTGGAAGTGATTTGCCTCATCCCATTATGACATGCGCCGGGCCCCATAGAGAACAAACACAGCAGTCAGGAGAAAAGAAGGGGGAGATGGTGCAGGCATATCATACAACCTGCTTTTGGAAAAGCATCAGAATTTTGCCTGGACATGCAGGTCAGAGGAAGTGTCTCTTGGTTGTGTCTCTGCTCCAATCATACAGGAGAGCGCTGACATTTGTTGTGATTCACCTGTCTGTTTCTGTCAGCGTAATTACTCTGAAACGCTCTACTTTCCTTCATCTCCAGTTGTGTTAACTGGTTTACTGACAAGAGCAAGAGGGGTCAAACGTGCCCGGAGTCTGATAGGGCACATTACAGTCTCCACATGTGCACCTTTTACAAACCGGAACTCGTTGGTTTTTTATTTTTATTTTTTAAGAAAAATGTCAGGTAAGTGAAATACAGAATAAAAAAAAGAGGAATTGTAAATCAGGTGAAGTTGAGGAATGGTATTTTGATTGTTTTATTAAATTAGATTATGGTCTCAATTAAAGACAGGAAAGGTTGGGTCATAAAAAAATTTAAAAAAAAACCCGCAAAAAACAAACTACCAAGACCTCCAGTTTGATGGATTTTGAAAATATATAAGTATTTGCATAGCTTAAACATATTGAGGCTATTCAACAAAGTTAAATCAGGTCCTCTGGATAATTTTCCTGTGTTGAAACGTTTCGTCCTTCATCCAAAGGACTTCAAGCCAAGGAGCCACAACAAACTCAACCCTGAGTGGCTTAGTCACATAGTGGGCCAACCAGTTTGATGGTTTGCCCACTGGTTACTATGTGAGTAAGCCACTTAATAGACTGTGTTTGTTGTGGCTCTTCAGACTGATGAAGTCCTTTGGATGAAGGATAAAAGCTTTCAATGCAAAGAAACTGTCCAGAGGACCCAACTTAAATTTGCTGCATTTCTTTTACCTGGATTATTGAGCATGAACATAAATTGAGTTTATGTTGATTTATTTATTCACACATGTTGGTTGTATGTGAATAAAACACTAAAATTAACCAAATAATGCATTAAACAGTTTTCTAAATGTATACATGTCAACTTAGTATTTTAAAACAAACTTACTTTCTCTCTGCTTCTAAAGTTAAGTTGATTTAGTTTTAAAGAACTTGTTCAATGAAGCAACACATTTTGCCAGGTTTAATAATGGGAGTCGTTTATATGTCAGATTAGAATCTCAACATTAGTAAGACACATATGAATAAATCCTACAATGTACTTGTTGTTACACTGAGTTTCCATTTTACAGTTTCCAGTTGACCCAAATGCTGCTGCTGGAGTTTTGATTAAAGATGGGAGAGATCATATAACTCCAATTTTAGTTCCGCTCCCTGTCAAACTCAGAATAGAACTACAAAATTTACTATATACATGCAAAGCTCACAACGACTAAGCTTGTTAAAATAAAGTTTATTTTTATTTTTTGTATTCGTTAACTGTTTTTCTTTGTCTTCCTATAGAAGCTACACCTAGGTGACTTCTTGTTTGTCTCTTTTTGTCCTTTCAGACCTCAGCTGGTCGAAGCAGAAGGCCATTCATGCTGCTAAAAGTTTTCTTCCTGTTAAAAGGTGTGGGGTTCTGTTGTTTTCTCCATCCACTAACACTTCTAGTAGCTCCAGGGAGGCAGGGTGGAGCCAATTATCCACAGCTGTATCCAGTCTGCTGATGTCCACAGTACTTGACTGTTTGGACCAACTAGACTCCTCTGGAAGTCTAAGCTTGTCTATTAGCTTGTTTGGTATGAACACCAGCATCCTCACAAACTTTTATAGGTGCACCATTGAGAGACTGCTGACAGGCTGCATCACAGGGTGGTATGGGAACTGCACAAGTCAGAGCCGAAAAGCTCTACAGAGGGTGGTGCAAACAGCAGAGGACATCACTGGTAGCAGTCTCCACACCATCCAGGACATCTACCGATGTCTGCGTAAAGCACACAGCATCATTAAGGACCACACCCACCCAGCACGAGGACTCTTCCGTCTACTACCCTCAAGCAGACGATACAGGAGTCTTTGCATACAAAAAGACTAAAGGACAGCTATTATCCACAAGCTGTCAGATTACTGAACTTTCGATAAATAATATGGAACAACTGGCAATAACTTTGCATCAAGCCACATCTGCGACAACTAATATGACTAACATTCGTGACACCTAATGTAATGTGTTTATTGATTATTGCTGCTACACTATGTGGCTGTATCATGTATGATACAGTGTCTATGTATCTACCTTACCATCATAATTCAGTCTCAGTGTTAATCACTACCTGTGCAATAACCTGTCACACAACCTGTGTAGTATATGTTAGATATGTACAATATGTATCACGCATTTTAACTTATTTTACTACCTTGAAATACTTATTCATACAAATTCATCCTTCTTGCACCATTAACATTCTACCATGTTGTTGATAACTATGTTCTCTTTAGGACCTTGTAAATATTATAATTACTTTTGCATTTTTTGGTACTTTATAATGTACGCTTATTGCATGCTTTAGTATTTCTTGTTTGTTTGTTTGTTCTTTGTTTTCAGCGAGTCAAATCGGTTCTTCTCACCCTAAGCATTTCATTGTAGTGTTAACCTTGTGTTAACCTTGCATATGGCAAATAAACACAACTTGAACAATTTGAACTGGGAACATTGTCAACTTCTCGTCCAGTCCTAGTGAAGATCTTGTTTTCCCCAGATTAGACTAACTTGTACTTTCTTTGTGTTTCTTGTAGCTCCTGCTGTTCAGTTCCTCGCTCCCTGGATTCTCTTGTGACATTTCTTGGTCTTGCTTCTTGAGTCTTCTTGAGATCCTGTTCTTGGAACTACAACATCATCAATAGAACAAGCACCAAACATCTTTCCATCCATTGTTCCTGCCACTCTATCTACATACAACACTTACCATACCTGGTCACTTTGGTTCACTTTGTAACCCTAGAATCCCCTGGTCATCAACCCTCCATTCTGTGAAAGACAGAAGAGACAAGATAACTAATTATATTCCTGGACATTAAATATTTCACCTTACTCAACCCATGTCCTCTCATGCAACTTCCTCCAGTGCTCCTGTCATTCACTTCTTGTAAATAAACACGTGTTTTCTGAGCTGCTTGTTGTCTCATGTCTCAGTAAAGAACTCTAAGGTTTGTTAGTAAAACGTGATAAAAGACAGTTTCTTTCTTCCGTCGCCTCCTTGTTGCTCAGAATGAGGGATTGTGGAGAAATGAAGATTAGACTGGTTTCTTTGGATTGAGAACGTTCAGTAATTAACATTCCTACCCTGCATGTAATGTAGTGTAAGAGGAATTGATTTAACAGTAGTTGGATTTATGATTTGGATGGTTTTTTTTTTCATTGCACCCTGAGAAGGTTTTTGAATTAAATCGGAGCTATAGACATAAACTGAAAGTGACTGATTGGAAAACAATAAAAGGTTTAATCAGGTCATTTTTTTTTAAATGGCAGCAATTATAAAATGTATTTTTTTCCACTCTCCAAAAATTGTCAAAGCCAATTAAAATGAACCAAGTTTTATAAAAAAAATATGTTTGTGTGTTATGAGTTGGAGCATTCTGTTGCCCAACACGCCATGGAGTGATGAGAGTATCTCAGCTCCCCCTGCGCTCCACAGACATGTCTCTCTACATGCCATGAAGCAGAGAGACATTGACCTCTGGGCTCATGGGGGGATGCTGGGGGTGGTGGGGGGGCTGAAACAGAGGGAGCAGCA